GATAGATAGATAGATAGATAGATAGATAGATAGATAGATAGATAGGTAGGTAGATAGATATTGCACGTAGGAAGTGTCCTCACCCCATCAGAATGTAAATTCCTTCAAAGCGGGGACTATTTTACTCCCGTCTTTGTATATTCGGCACTTAGCATATACAGTAAGCACTTAGCGCTTGCTGATTATTTCCATAGCCATCCTGATCCCCACCCCCACTTAAGGGAGAGAGCCCACCATCCTCACTGTGTTGACAGAGAAGCAGAAAGAAGAGGGGGCTCTCAAGGCCACCCGGAGGAGAACCAGACGTCGTGCTTGAGATGGGAATGAGAGACCTCAGCCTCCTGACCCGTCCCTCTCCTCCCCTCCTCCTTCAGACGCCAGGGCTACTCGAATGGCCCCGGCCTCCCCGCAGAGACTGTAAGGCAGCTCGCGCTGCCATAACCGCCGTGCAGATCGTGGAGATATATAGATATATATGGATATGTGTGTGTGTGTGTGTGTGTGTGTGTGTGTGTGTGTGTGTGTGTCTATATTTTTACTCTTTATTTTAAGCCTCGCGTCGATGCACGCATCCCAATTCCCTCCCTTCCCCACTCGCTCCGGGCCAGAGTTGGAATGCAAAGCGAAGGAGGAGCATCTCTACTAAACTGCAAAGGTTACACGGTTCCATGCAGACTGCTGCTGGGAACCCGCCCGCCATCCCCGCCGCGCAGCCAACGCTGGGATTGATTCGCAGCGGCCGCTGCCGCACCCGCCGCACCCGCCGCGCCGCCTCCTCGCGCCTCCATCCCGGCCCGCACCCCGCTGTGCAGATGAAATTCAGCGTTGGGGAGGATTGACACCCAATCTCCTCCATTCTCAAGCGAAGCCCCAGGATCAATCAGCTACTCAGAGGCTGCCCCCACCCCCCATCCCTGCCCAGCTCAACTGGGTTCTGAGGCCACAGGGGGTGCCTGAAGGTGGGACCATCTTTTATCATAGCGATATGGAAGCAAGAGTAGACTGAGGAGTTTTAATGGCTTAGCGATGGAGGAAGCTGGTCCTGGCTGGCAGCAATGTCCTCCCTGTGGACGGATTAAGTAAGGCCAGGGCCTGCCTGCCAGCCTCCCGCCTGGCTTGCGGTCACTGAGGATGGGGCGGCCGTGGAGTCACGGGCTCGGGGTTCCATTCCTCCCTCTGTCGCTAATTACCGTGGGATCTTCAGCAAATCATTTCCTCTTTTTGGGTGGCTGTTTCCTTATCTGTAAAATGGAGAGCTTGGACTAGATGGCTTCAAAAGTCCCTTTCAGCTGTAAGCCTAGGCTCTTTTGAAGGCTGCTGGGTCTGAGGAGAAGAGGCAGCACTGCCCCTAGGCAGCCACCCCACCTCCTCCCAGCTGGGAGGCTGGAGGCTCGGCTTCTCTTCCTGTCCTCGACTCCTGTGGAAAAGTGCTGGGAAATGCTGAAAAGGGAGCCGAGGGTGGCTATTGTGGGAGCCTTTTCTGAGCCGAAGAGAAGCAAGGCCAGGCTGGCTGGGGAACCTGGAGGTGTTAAGGGAGGTCTAGAACTACAGCCCAGGAAAAAGGGCTGGGGCAGGGGGAGCAGCAGCCTGGGCAGGACACTCTCAGACTTATTTCAATTCAACCAGTTTTACTGAGCACTTGCAGACCAGCCACCCAGGCCTCTCTCCTTCCATCCCTACTCCACTCGTTTCTGCTCCTTACACTCTTATACCCAGCGACACAAAGGGATGGAGAGGAGGAGGAGGAGGAGGAGAATGCTCAGAGAGAGATTACCATCCTCCTCCTCCTGGAGTGATAAAGGCAGTAGAGATAGGAGTTCAGAGGCAGGGACACAAGGAAAAATCAACAAGAATTGGTTACTGACTAGTGCTGCGTGTGTGAGTGAGAGGGGGCAAGGGAGGGGGAGGGGAAGAGAGACAGAGACAGAGACAGAGAGACAGAGAGATGGAGGCAGAGAGAGAGAGAGAGGAGAAGAGGAG